CCCCCGCCCACCCCATGCATTCTCATTATTTCTCTCTGCTTATTTTATATCCTACTACTTTTTCCCCTTTTTAGTTTCGCCTTTTTCCAGATCCAACTTCCTCCTCTAAGCAGTATCTAAGTAGGCTTCTGTATCTAAGTATGGTATACTGCATTTGCTGGCAATAGCTTGACAAGGTTCCAGCACATACGACTAGGAAAGCCAAAAAGATGCAATGCAAGAAGAGACTGAATAAAACCTTTATCACGTCTTCTAAGCCAGCCTTTTAAAAGTGGCAGCTGAGAGGCTGGATGGATATGGCACATAAGACACACCAAATGGCTCGGCTAACAAAAGCAGAAGGGGAAAGGCTAAGAGCCTCCGGGGCTGCAACATGCCAGTGGAGGAGGGATGGGTGTTGGTTCCACAGAATTGGTGGGCAGCAAGAACAGTGCTGCCCGCAAAGCCTCTGCACCTGTAGCACTGGAAAGGAGTGCAGACTTGCCTCTGCTGCCGTATGTGCTAGGTCAGTCTTACTGATTCCTGTTACCCTATTTAGACATTTTTTAAAAAGCAAAACAACAACTGAAGAGCACTAGTTTTGGCTCCTGTGTACCTGGTGCATGTGCTCCCACGGAGACCCTGTTTTCATCTCACAGTCATATACATCTATATATGGATTAGTCTTATTCATTACAGTCCCCTACAGAGGGACTTCAGAATGGAAGCCACTGTTAATCCAGGGAGTTTGGCATGAGCCATTTTTAACCACTTTTTCAGGCAATGCTGGATTTTTTTTTTTTGAGTTGATAGTTTGCAAATACAGTTGTTCAAAGCGGAACAAACTACAGTTTATTTAATATTCATACTTCAGTTCCATTTGTGTATTACTAATATAGCATAATCAAAGGAGATAGGAAGGATTTAGAAAAATAATACATTGCAGGCCTGAAAGGAACTAAAGGAAACCTGGTTTGTGTTTGGTTTTGGTGGGGCTTGGTTTGGTTGGTTTGTTGTTTTTTGTTGGGGTTTGGTTTTTGGGTTAGTTTTTTGGGGATTTTTGAAAGGATTTACAATGATGTGAAGTAGCTTAGTATTTAAGAACAGTCAAGAAAAACGCCTATATGTCACCTTTTGCTTAGCACAACTTTTGCCCTTCTCTCCAGACACCCCCTCCCTTCCTTCTCAGATAGTGCTTCTATGTTCCACAATTTCAGCATTTATGTCATACCACTCAACAGCAGCAGACTTACTGGTAGAATGATGGTACATGCTGAGTAGTTTAAAATGAATACAAAAATTAGATTTTGGGTAATAGATACTTAAATTTATCAGTTGCAAATGAGTTCAGTATCATAACTTAAGATATTGCTCCCTGTAATTAGGTTGTATAGTTTTCTGGGTTTGGTTTTTTTTTTTTAATATTTTCTGGAGAAGTTTTCATGTGTGACTATAGGTTGAATTTACTTCGTGCTGAACAGTTTTAATAAAAAATAGCACAGTACAAAAAAGTGCTAAAACATACATAATGATAACAAGAATTCTATATAATCATACTTGAATGTAGTTTTCTTTTACGGTACAGGTACACTTAATTTTAGGGTGGTGGTAATATTTGTACACTCAAATACTTTAGAAAGTTTCTTTCGTTTTAGTAACTAGTAATAAGGTTTGGTTACAGAATAGTGTATGGAAAGATGTTTGAGTCTGCAAGAGAAATCTCAATCATGTTTTCAGCTTTAAACGTCTTGTCTTTGTGGATAATTTTTAGTATTGTATGCAAGAAAGTTATTAAAAAGTACAGGCAATTTCAATGATTCTGAACTGTACTGCTGTTTTTTCAGCACTTGGAACAGCTGCGTGCAAACCGAAATAATCTAAATCCAGCACAGAAACTTGTGCTGGAACAGCTGGAGAGTCAGTTTGTCTTGATGCAGCAACACCAGCAGGTGAGAACAAAAATATTTTTCTCTTCTACAAAACTTTTGTTAGTAATGATGTCTGTGTGTTTCTTGAATTCTGAAGAACTTCTATTGTACAGAGTTCTCATGCCCTTTATTACGTTACATTAAGTCATTGTTTTTTGTATAAAGTATAATTGTGGTTTACTGGTTGAAACATAACGGGTTTAGCTGTGTTTTATTATAGGGCTACCAGATAACATAAAAGTTTTGAAGCCACACTTTCAAACTAAAGTGAGTGGACACATCTAAAAGCAGTCTTACTTGAAAAATACTTAGTCGTAGTAAGCCGTATTACAGCATATCTCTCCTCCTCTCATTGTTCACTTCTCTCTCTCTTGTGTCCAACTTTAGCAGTAAAACGCTAACACTCAAACTGAAGAACCTAGAAGAAAAGTGTGCCGATAGCTTTACCTTAAAATTCGCTCAGCACATTTGTGAGCATGACAGTCGTCTTATTTCTCAAAAGCAACTGCGAAGATCTTAAAATCAGAATAAAACTGGAATTGACCAGTGCAATAAAGTACACAAACGTTGTATGATTGTTACTTTTTAAACTCTGCAGCTAATGTTCTTGTGCTTTGTTCATCTTCCATTAGATGAGACAAACAGGAGTTGCACAGGTACGATCTACTGGAATTCCTAATGGGCCAACAGCTGATTCATCACTGCCTACAAACTCTGTCTCTGGTCAGCAGCCACAGGTTGCTCTAACCAGAGTGCCTAATGTCGCTCAGCGTGGAATCCGTCCCGCCTGCCCCGGGCAGCCTATGGCTAATGGACCCTTTCCAGCAGGCCCCATTCCCTGCAGCACAGCAAGAACGCTGGGTAGTACAGACACTATTTTGATAGGCAATAATCACATAACAGAAAGTGGAAGTAATGGAAACGTGCCTTACCTGCAGCAAAACGCACTCTCTCTACCTCATAACCGCACAAACCTGACCAGCAGCGCAGAGGAGCCGTGGAAAAACCAACTATCTAACTCCACTCAGGTATACAATTTCAGTTTACTCAGAGTATGCTAAGGAGGCTTGATAAGCAGGTCACTGTTTGAAGTCTCTCATTTGTAAACACATGTTTTCTGTTTCCTGAAGTTGATGACCTAGATGCAAAAAAACATACACGAGGTTAAACCTGCCCATTACATTTTAGTGTTAAAATCTGTGTATTAAATTAACTGCTTTCAGGATAAAGGAAATGATCATAAATCAAAGAGGGCAGTTACATACTGCTCAGCTGCCTACCTTTGCAGAAAAGTTTCTTTAAAAAGGAATACTTATACATCTTTTTGTTGCTTCTTTAATGTGAAACATGACTTTGTTTTTCATGTAGTAGGAACGTGCATATTTCATGGGAAGCCAAATGTTGTAGTTATTTTGGACATTACATTGTCATCATGATGTAATCATTACCCGTATTTTGTGTCCATATGATCTTTCAAAATTAATATCTAGCAATCAATCCCACAGAGTTACTTGCAGAAAAATACTGTAATGCCAGTAAAAATCCATAGGGATTAAAGTGTGTAAGTAAGGGTGTTTTGTGTATGTGTGTGTTAGAACTTGAAGACAGAGCTTATTGTTTTTTAATTTCAGCCTAAATGTCTTTCTTCCAAGATGTACCTTGTGGATGTAATGAGGTGTTTTATAAGAAGATATCGTAACATTTTAATTCACTTTTACCAGATGGGTTATACAGCTTGATACAATACTGTTTTCTTCCTCAAAACTGCATAAATTTCTTGTTTAATTCATGTTGTATGTTACTTTAACACTGAAGAATTGAGAATGGGCTGTGGTACAGACATACATACCTGCTTAACTGCACGTACACTGCAACAAAGGCTGTGATAATACCGGAACATCTAAAACAGTGTTATAACATGATTTTTTAAAAAGTTTCCTCTATATCAGTAGTACTATTTACATGGTTTATAAGCATGGCAGGGGGACGTGGACCCTGTTAACCTCACTACCTCTTGCTTGAATTAGAATTCACTTTCCTGTTTTCTCTGTATTGTATAAAAAAAGTTCTGCACTTGCTAGAGAGGTATCTGCGTCATATTAGATGTCTGTGGTGCTGGTGTCCATCAAGTAGGCAAGTAATAAATTGCC